AATTATTAAGTTGTCAAACATTAGCTCACATGTTTTCATTAAAAATAGATGTTGATTTTAAGAAAAGGAAGAATTTAATTAGTGTATACATGTGACAAATTTATGATTTAATTATTATGGAATCACTCACAATAAAAGTCTATATAATGTAAAGAGTGAGAAAGTCAAGTGTTGATATTTTCTGCACTACTATTTTCTGCACTGTGATGTTTTATGTCGTGCAATTGTTATCATTGTTTGTCTTTTGTAAATTCTTAATTGAATTATTTTATTAGTTAGTTTTTAAATAGGATTAGGATGATATGTATTGTTTATTTATTTTGATATGTTTTTTATTGTGTTTGAGTTTATTTCATTATTTTTTGTTGTAATTGGTCTTTATTTATTTTATTTTTTGAACTGTTTGGACTTAAGACATGTTAAAGTTATATTATACATTGTTAAAAAAATCTTTTGTCGACCTCTTTGGTAATAAATATATTTTTTTAAAATTATGTAGTAAATTAAATTGTAAAATAAAAAATAAAACATTAGCAGGCCGGCCCCCAACTCGCCAACTCGTTAGTAAACGGGGGCGGACTTGGCTTTTGAGCTGGGACGCTTAAGTTAGCCCGCCCTGCCCCACTTTTGGACGGGTTTAAACGAGGCGGCTATAAACGGGACGGGCCACCCACTTTGCCACCCCTAAGTAAAACCACCGATGAAAGTCGTTTGAGCATAATGTTTGACTTTAAAAAGATGTCTTGTTCTTCAAGAGCATTTTCATGGGGATAGTTTGATGAAACATCTTAAGCATCTTTGACCGCTTAAGTTATCTTCAAGAGATAATGACTTCACTAGATATTGTTTGATATCAGGTGTTATCATCGTCAAAAGCAAGCATCCCATCAGTTGATTGCAGCTTGGCTATTAATAAACTTCACCATCTTGGATCACCTTGATAATACCTACAAGCACATAGATCCACACTACATCTACTTATACTTTGCATCACAAAAACAATTAGTTCCTCAAATACATAAAAAAGTTAATGTGTTGTATTCATGTATAGCAATCAGTCAATAACAACCACGAAAAACTAAATAGGGCCATACAATCCTAAACTTGTTATTTTCACCCATTTGACTAACCTTCATTTAGTCTACCTACCCTACAATGAGACTACCATTTCTTTTAAATAGGATTAGGATGTCTTCACTCCAAGTTTCTCTCAAATGTTTCAAAACTAAAATTAGTCTCTAAGGCATAAAACTCTTACGAATGAAAAGGCAGTGAAATGAAAGTGTCTAGATGTGAATATTATGACACCAAATAGATTTATCAGGATAAGGTAAATAGTGACACTTTCAACCGCCATAAATCTAAAAAACTAGGGTTATTAGAGTAGTATTATCTGAATAAGGTAAATTGTGACGGTTTCAATCGACATAATTTCAAAAACTATGTCAACGATTTGTCTGAATAATATTATTCAGACAACCATATAGGGTGCGTCCATATTATACTATCCAAACGAGGAAAAAAGTGTATTTTTTAAAAATTCATAAGGTTTGAGAGAAATATATATAATGTAATGAATGATTCTAAAAAAGAAAAGAAAAATGTGTAACACCCGAGGCCGAAGAGGGCGGGGAGTGGATGTAATGCTCAACGCCGAAGAGGGCAGAGAATGGTCTCTAAATTCCCATCATGAAGAGAGGGATCTTGAGACTGTGCAGGTATGAGACTATATGGTTGAAGGAAAGCTTATAAGAATTAATTGATACTACATATACCAACAAGATACATCTTTTTTCGGTAGCCAAACATATAATAACTCCATAGTTAAAAAGGTTTGACTTGGAGTAGTATTTGGATGGGTGACCTTCTGGGAGGTTTCTCAAAAAGCGTGTGAGTGAAGACAAAATATGTTGAAAAGATTCGTGTTGCTTTATGGGGTCAGCCGATAATCCTGAAAGCAATATGGGGCATTATAAATGGTATCAGAGAAGCCCTCTCCCAGTACGATGTGGTTTAGGGACAAATCAAGAGAAAGTTGGTGGGTATGTAACACCCGAGGCCGAAAAGAACGAATAATGGATGTAACACTCAAGGTTGAAGAGGATGGAGAGTGGTCTCAGAATTCACATCAGAATGAGAGGGATCATAAGGCTGTGCAGGTATGAGACTCCATGGTTGAAGGAATACTTATAAGGACTAATTGGTGCTACATATACCAACAAGATACATCTTCTTTTCGGTAGCCTAACAAATAAGAACTCCGTAGTTAAGAAAGTTTGACTTGGAGTAGTATTTGGATGAGTGACCTTTTGGGAAGTTTGCAAGAAAGCGGGTGAGTGAGGACAAAACATGCTGAAAAGACTCGTGTTGGTTTGTGGGGTCAGTCGGTAATCCTGAAAGCAGTATGAGGCATTACAAAATAGAATAGAAACATATATGAAAAGATCCATGTTGGTTTGTGGGTCAGTTGATAGTCCGTTACAAAATAAAATAGAAACACATGCATATGCTTCTCCTTTACCACACTCAAAACACCCATAGGTCAGAAAGCCACCACGTCACCTATGACAACACTGAATTCTCTTCCACCACCACACATTTGAATTTAGAGCATGACTTTTTTTTGTTATTAATTTATTTATATATATTTTAAAATATTATTTATAATTTAAAAATAATGACTGACTCAACTTTTAAATTTAAAATCAATAACCTAACTTCTTTGAGACAACCCAAATTATATATCAATGAAATTTTAAGTTTTGTTTGAGAGTATAGAAGAAAAAAAAGAAAACTATAATAAAAAAATGTTGGTGTGAAAAGAATTATTATTTTTTATAATACAAAATAAAAAATTTAAAAGCTGTATTTGAGAAAAGTTTTTAAAAACTTAAACAAATTCTCTAAATTCAATCTATTTTGTTATTACATCCAAATATTGAAAATATAACGATAAAATAAGAATACTATTCATTTAAATTTCATACATTTTAAAAGAATTAAAAGCTTTATTTTTCCAACAAAAACTCAATCTTCCTTTCAAAAACTCTTTTTTCCTTTCCTAATATCTAAACAAAGTCTTATGAAACTTGATTCAATAACACTACCACATTTTCCATACAACTTTTTTTATTATAATTTCAATGAAAAATCCGTGTGAATATTTTTTTGTTATGTAGATATACAGTTTTTTATTATAATTTTTATAATTTTTTAATTTAATTTTAGTCTTGCAAATATAAATATAGGCAATTTTGATTTTTAATCTCTATTCAGTCCGTTTTTGCAAAATTTGTCTGTAATAAATAGAATATTTAAATTTTAATATTTTTAATGTTAATGACATAACAAATAAAAGAAATATCATATGTGAATTGCAAAAATCAAATGTAATATAAATCAATTTTAAAAAAAATTTAAATTGTCAACCTGAGTTATATCTAGCACCTTGTACACATTTTTTTTTTTTTTAATTTTAAAATTGTTCATGATCAAAGTTTTATGAAAATAGTTGAACTAAATTTTTAGTAGTGTAATTCAAAATTTTTGATAGTGTTAAATTTCAATGCTATGATTTTGATGACAATTTTGTAAGATTATGACCGTTTTGTACGGTTCAATATAATTAAAGACTTAAAGTTGTATAAACAGAGAGTCATGTGTTATTAACCTGTATAACATCATACAATACCTCTAACACGAGCCATAGGTGTGTCTCTATCATGTGTTATTAACCTGCATAACATCATACAATACCTCTAACACGAGTCATATGTGTGTCTCTATCAGTGAGTCTGTCTACAATTGTGTTGTCCCATCGCCTAGTCTACACTAACTGTTGAAAAAAATATATTAAAAATTGAACTAACTATTGGAAAACTCAAAATTTTCGAAAAAATTGAATTTCTTATGAGAATTTCAATATTTCCGATAATATATGTAAAAAATATTTAACTATTGAGAATTCTAAAACTTCTGATACATATGTATCGAAAATGTTGGAATTTCCGATATAAATTATATAAATATATTGAGAATTATGAAATTCACGATATTAATATATCAAAATTTTCAAAATTTTTGATAAAAACTTATTTTTATGATTTTTTATCAGTAATTCCAACACTGCAGATAAAAATGAATGAAAAACGACAAAGAAAACTAATTTTTTAGAAATTTCCGATACACTTCTTGTGATTTTCGGTATCGTCTTGGAGGTTTTAAAATTTGCATAAATTTTTAATGAATTTAATAATATGATTTTAAAATTGTGTTAAAGATAATATAGTAAATTCACTCAATGTGTCGGGTATAATTGGAGGTGTCAACTTAAATCCTCACAAAATAATAACAAAAATAATATATATATATATATATATATATATATATATATATATATATATATATATATATATATATATATATATATATATATATAAAAATTAAAATAAAAAAATTTAATCAATCATTAACTAATCTAGCAGTGATTAACACATAATAAAAATAATCATAATTCGATCTCCACAACTAAGATTACTTGATATCAAAACTGAATTTCAAATTAAATTGTGGTAAAAGAAACTTATAGGATTAAAAATAAAAAGCGGTCTATATATATAAGAAGAAATACCTATTTAAACTAAAAAGAAAGTAGAATAAAATTCTACAAGAGCATGGACATGGTTACTACTACTATTAATTAAACTAAACTAATGTAAAAAGCTAAAATCCGCAGTAATTACCTTTGAGTTAATCTGTTGAATGCATGCAGTTGTTTGTAAGAGAGAGAGTGTGTGTTTCTTGTTGACAAAAGTGAGTATGGGAAGGAAGAGAGAAAGACAAAACCAAATCTTCTTTCCAAATATGAAACTAAATATTAATTGATTCACAATATCACCAAATGCCAACTCTTTCTTCACTCGTTTTCATTCTTCTCTCCAAATCACTTCCCTGATTCTCCAACTCCATTTCCCCTCACTTTCCCGGGAAAATCTTCCCGGATGGGCCTCTCCCGCAACTCCATTTCTCAACCGGAGATCGACGATGCCGGCGGTGCCAGCGACTTTGGATTCTCCTCGATCCGAGGTCGATTCCCTTTCAAACGTAACCCTAGCTATAACCGTGACCGACAAAAATCAGCTTCCGATCGTCATTTACCTAGGTCCGCCAACAGTAGCCGATCTCACCTCCATAACCGTTTCACTCGCAAAGGCTTACTCTCTTTCTGTCCTTTCTTCATAACCAAGACTGGATTGTACGCATTGATCTTCGCTGTTGTTTTCCTCTTCGCACTCGCTTCTATTGTTTTGCAGAGCTCTATTACCTCCGTCTTCCGTCAGCGGAATGAGCATTCGTTAAATCTTCGGGAAGGTCTTAAGTTCGGTAGCACGCTCAAGTTCGTTCCTGGAAAGGTTTCTCAGAAGTTCCTATCAGGGGATGGTCTCGATCGGCTTCGCTCTTTGCCTAGGATTGCTGTTCGTGCTCCCAGAATAGCTCTAGTGAGTTCCCTAAACTTTCTTCTTTTCTATGTTTCAGTCTTCTTTATTCAATCACAGTACGTGAATTTTATTGTCTGTGGAGCATGAGTTTAAGGTTACTTTAATTAGAATTCTATTCAACCATATTCATTATTTTTCAGTGGATAGATAGTGTATTTTATTGGAAGGATCCATTTTAATTAGGACAGAGACTTTTGAATTATACATTTTCTTTTGATGTTTTTTATTTACTGCATAATGGTTTGAGTGGACAAAAGTTAGTTTTAGGAAACATATTAGCTATCATGGATTCATTTTGAGTTATTATGACAGGAGAGAGTGGAGAGAAGAATCCTGTTTTTCATTATCCAAATCCAGACTCTTAATTTGTCATTGAGCATAAATAGATTGCATTCTCACCCTCGGTTATCAAATGAATTCGCCCTTCAATTAAGGCCAAGGGGAACAGGAATTGTGCTGACAAATATCATTGTTTGTACTAGAGAGAAGTGGACCTGGTAGTTTTCTTTTTGGGAAGTTTTTAAGTTCTTTTCTTGGGGATGTAATTTAATATATTTTAACTGATAAAAGGTTGAAGATTTCGAGCTACATAGTTTACTCAAGCAGGGAAAGAATCTTCACCATTTAGTTTCCATGCAATTTTTCAATATGCATGATTTCATAGGTGCTGCTACACTTGATGTTTGGAAATTTTTATGTAAAACTAAAATGTCTGAGTAGAAGTGAAGGTTTGCTTCAAGAGACCTAAAATGCAACATGCAACAAACTTCTAATTTTATTTATTTTTTAGTTACTAAAAATGGGTGATTATGAAAAGAATGGAGGATAAAGAGGATTTGCTTTTTAATTTTAACATTGGATGGGCATATCCACAGTCATGATGTAATTCCACAACAAAAGTGCAAAGCCTATCTGATTTTCTTATATCAAAATTCATGAGACAAACTTTATTCTTCACTGTTGTTCAAACTGAAAAAAGTGAAATGTTAAAAGTTGTTCAGATAAGAATCTTCACATAAGAACTTTGATAGGCATCTTCACGATTATGGGTACGTTAACTAATTGAGTAATGAGCATCACAATTACTGCTTGAAGAAAATACTATTTGCTTTTCAAAAACATATGGAAAAGCACAACTTCTTTGTGGTCCTGAACCTGTTCTGCAGCCCTTGGGCCAACAATGCTGGTCCTAGATGTGAGGGCTAATCAATTAACATCTTCATACAAACTATTTTAAAAGAAAATAAATGACTGCATCACTTAGCAAAGTATCATGTATGTTAAGCATCTTATCAAATTTTGTTTGGTTAAATGCTCTTAGTGGGATGAAGCTTGGTTACTGTTGCTGGTGAATGCTCTTAGTATAACTATCTGCACTTGTTTTGTATTTCAGGTTTTAGGGCACATGACGGTAGATCCCCAATCATTGATGTTGGTTACTGTAATTCAGAATCTACAGAAGTTGGGTTATGTGTTTAAAGTAAGTCATTGGCATTTTTTGTATGGTTTCTCTTAACTTCTCTTTGTATGGGCCTCAAATTCATCTGTCATAAATAAGTGTACTTCAATCATTGTAAAAATATGTTTTCTTTAACATTGATGCTGTAGATTGTTAAATTGTTTTTCTGGTGTTGTAATAAAGCAAACATTTTGTAAGGCCCCTGCTTTTTTTTTCTGCGTGTCTTGCTAGATTTTTGCAGTAGGGCGTGGGAACGCTCGCTCAATGTGGGAAAAGATAGGTGGTGGCCTTTCTTCTTTGAGTACAGAACAGCAAGGCCAGATTGATTGGTCAAAGTATGTGTCTTTAACTAAATTTATTTTTCCTGTTTTATGTTGGGGCAGTATAAATTACCTTTCTCGTGTTATTGTTAATATCTTAACACGCTTTTTCTTTTGGTAAATCTTCTTTTGGCACAATTTCTTGTTTTAACTTGTTACGGTGTTTAACACTTCCCCCCTTTCCCTTTTGGTATCCTTGCAGTTTTGAAGGTGTCATTGTTGACTCGCTAGAAGCAAAAGAAGCCATTTCAAGGTGGGTTTTCTTTTATTTATCAAATTCAGTTTTTAAGTTGTAAAATCTCTGTGCTTTGGATTAGCATGTTGGGCTTGTGGTGAGTTTCTAATTTGGTCTCCAAAAGTTGAACCAGTGTTGCTATTTTTTGGGTGTTTTCCAGTAATGTTTTTATCATTTTACCTAATTTTTACTTTTAAATAAGTACTAGAAGTTGAAAATTTGTTTTATGAACTGAAGATAACTTTGATAGGTAGGTTTAGCAATTGAGCTTATTCTGCAGATCTTGCGAATATGTTTTCTTTTGGTGATTGAGTTGAATTTTTGCACTTTTTGAAATGCTTGATCAATAGGAATGTATTTTTGTTTGAAATGGAAGTTAGCATGAAAGTTTGTTTACCTTCTTTAGAAACAGAAAATAGGATAGGAGTGAAATAAAGCTGGACAAGTAAGAGGATGAACGGGTAGATTTTATTTTAGATACAGCCTCATTCAGTATCAATGTGATACTTAGACCAAGGGTAGATTTTATTTTAGATACAGCCTCAGTCAGTATCAATGTGATACTTAGACCAAGAGTGATACAGGGGCATCCTTTTTGTAATTCCCATGTATTCTAGAGACCTGGTTTTCTCTCCCTAAAATCTAACTTCAAGTAACTAGCTGACTATATTGTTGTCAACTTATTAAATCCGTTCTATTATAACAAACTAGTTGCTACATTTGGGCTAAATATCCTGCAGAATGAAAATTAGGAGATTTATAGTTTTCTGTTTTCAACTATGAAGCACAGACACCTCTAAGGATAGGTGTGTTGCAGTGCGCGACATGCGTCGGTGTCGGAAAAGTCTTACAAGTGTTGGAAAAGTCAAACAAGTGTCCCTCCATAAAATAATTTTTTTCTTTGTTTCGACACTCTTTGAACCGGTGTCAGACTCCCGTATGACACTCACACAGCGTGTGTCAGACAATTTAGACAAGCCTTTCAAAAAATATTTTCTTTGTTTCAACACACATTATACATTTTATGGACAAATCTCTTACATGTATTGTTGTACTTTCCGCTTTAATTGTTGGACACCCACATTGCTTAGAGATATGGTATGTGTTGTGTTTATAAGTGGGGGCAATCCTCATCTTACAAGCTAGTTTTGTAGGGATGAGTTAGGCCAAATTCAAATTCAGAGATGGTATCAGAGCCTATCCTAGATCCATTATTGGGCTTCCTGCATCTTCCACGCTTCGGGCTCATTGAGGCCCAAGCATGATGGTGTGCGTTGGACTTTCCGCCTTAATTGCGGTCCACCCTAGTCGCCTTAATTGCGGCATTTGACTTGTCTTCATTGCAGTCCCAACACCTTCATTGTGTTGGGTTTGAAGGGGTGGATTTAGTCCCACATTACTTAGAGATATGACCTGGGTTGTGTTTATAAGTGGGGGCAATCTTCACCTTACAAGACAGTTTTGTAGGGATGAGTTAGGGCAAACCCAAATTCTGAGACGTATATAAGGGTTAAACATGTATTGCAACAATGTTATCAATTTAGAATATAATATTTTTTTAACTTTTTTAATAATATATGGATAAATGAATGTTAAATACTACTATTATATACGTAGCAGTGTCGGTGTACTATGTATTTGACATAATCGGTGTCGGAGTGTCCGTGTTGTGTCGTGTCTTGGTATTCGTGTCAGAGTCTGTGCTTCATAGGTTTTCACTCCCCCTTACTTCCTTTTCTCTCGACCATTTTTGTGAGAAATGTTTTGATGTTACTTATGTTATAAATACATGCAAAAGAATAAATTGTTAGCTCTCTTTGCTTTCATCAAGAGTTAGGTTTTATTTTTTATTTTGATGTTAATTTAAAATTCTTGGAGAGGCTTGTACATAGAGTAAGCTCTTTATCCACATCTTGATTTGATATGTAGACTCACTTTAGGGTTTATGTTAGGATATGTAATAAAGGGGAATTAGAGTAGTTAAGAGTTGTTAGAAACTCAGAGCAATTGGTAAGTTAGTTTGTTATGTGGTTGTTCTGCCTGTTAATATCAGTATGCTATTTCTGTTGTTATTTTGGTTATTCTTAGCAAAACAGTGAGCATTCTGTGACATCTTTCTGTCCCATCACTATGATTGTAGGCGATGCTTGTTTGATTGAAGTTTTAGATGCTATGATTAGTGAGTTTTATATTTGTGCAGCCTTATGCAGGAGCCTTTTTGTTCAGTACCATTGATATGGATTATTCAAGAAGATAGCCTTTCAAGACGACTTTCATTTTATGAACAAATGGGTTGGCAACATCTTATTTCTCACTGGAGAAGTGCTTTTAGCAGAGCCAATGCCATTGTCTTTCCAGATTTTACTTATCCGGTAAAGATTTAGTTACATTTGCACAAAGCCTTGGACATTGACAGTGTTAAGAGTCCCACATAGGACAATATATGGCCTGAACATGTCTTTATAAGTGGGGGCAATCCTCAACCTACAAACCGGTTTTGTAGGGTTTGAGTTAGGCCCCAGCCACATTTCTTAACATGGTATCAATAGTCTCATTTAAGATCCGGTGGACCACCTGCTATCAGGTTTCCGCTATCGGGTCACCCATCATTTATTTCCATGCTCCAGATGTCCAGTTCCTGGCGTGAGGGGTGTGTTAAGAATCCCACATCGGACAATATATGGAATATATGGTCTGTCTTTATAGGTGGCGGTAATCCCCACCCTACAAGCCAGTTTTGTAGGGTTGAGTTAAGACCCGACCACATTTCTTATCAGGATCTCTTCTCCATTAAGTCTGTCTCGAGTGTTTTGAAGCTAGTGCTCAAAGCTTCTTTTTTCTTCATGTATCAGATGCTATATAGTGAGCTTGACACTGGAAACTTCTTTGTGATTCCTGGATCGCCAGTTGATGTGTGGGCTGCAGAAAGCTATAGTAAGACCCACACTAGGGATCAACTCAGAGAACATAGTGGATTTGGTAAAAGTGATATGGTGGTTTTAGTTGTTGGGAGCTCAATCTTCTATGATGACCTATCTTGGGAATATGCTGTTGCAATGCATTCCATAGGGCCTCTGCTGACTAAATATGCAAGGAGGAATGATGCAACTGAGGAATTCAAGTTTGTTTTCCTATGTGGCAATTCAACTGATGGTTATGATGACGCTTTAGAGGTAGTCTCTTTTCTTAAAATGTACTGTGCATCATATGTTATTTTAATGCTCATGCTATCAAAAGATAACATTAGACTGCCATTATGATTATGTTTTCATAAGAAGTTTTAACCTCATCTCTAAGAAATAATTGAATACAAGAAGAATTTCCCATTGCATGGGAGGTAAACAGTAAGAAAAGTGGCAAGATATGAGTATGTCAGTATGAAATGACAGAAACTAACTACCGGAGACACATAAATCTTAAATATGGTCTTTCTATATTATACGAATGACATTCCTCTATTTCGTTCTGTTCAACTTGTCTTTAGCTACATTGTCTCAGTCTTCAGTATGTTGTCTTTGAATTGTTTATTGATCCCTTATCTTTTGGTGTAGGAAGTTGCTTCACGTTTGGGACTTCCTCATGGTTCTATAAGACATTATGGCTTGAATGGTGATGTGAATAGCGTGCTACTGATAGCTGATATTGTTCTATATGGTTCTGCTCAAGATGTACAGGGTTTTCCTCCATTATTAATTAGAGCAATGACTTTTGAAATCCCAGTCATTGCACCTGATTTTCCTATATTACGAAAATATGTAAGTTTGTTCTTGTCCTCCTTTTTGTCATTCACTGAATTCTGTAACCATAGCTACTACATTTTCACCGAGCTTTTCTCAACTCACAGATTGTAGATGGAGTTCATGGGGTTTTTTATTCTAAACACAATCCCGAAGCTTTGATGAATGCCTTTTCGCTTCTGCTTTCAAGTGGAGGACTTTCTAAATTTGCTCAAGCTGTTGGATCATCTGGAAGACAATTTGCTAAAAATGTGCTTGCTTTGGATTGCATAACTGGCTATGCAAGACTTCTGGAGAATGTACTAAGTTTTCCTTCAGATTCTTCACTGCCTGGTCCTGTTTCTCAAATTCAACAGGGAGCATGGGAATGGAGTTTTTTCCAGAATGAAATATTACTAAATATTGACTTGCTAAAAATGAATGACGGTTTTTCCAAAGAAAAAGTTACCGTTGTCCATGCTGTTGAGAAAGAGTTGGCTGGCCTTAATTATTCAACAAACATAATTGACAATGGAACAGATGTTCCAATACTAGATGAACTAACCAAATTGGATTGGGACATTCTGAGAGAAATTGAAATATCTGAAGAAAGTGAAATGCTCGAAATGGAACAGGTATGATGCAATCTTCCAATTGCTGCAACTGATTTCAACTTTTATCTTCCGTTCTACCTGTTTATCACCCCTTTTTTCATTTCATCTCTATGGAATTCACGATCAGTTTATTTTAGAGATACCTAGTTCTAAAAATCATTTCATTCTGTTGTAGGTTGAAGAGAGGTTGGAGAAAGATGTTGGTGTTTGGGATGAGATATATCGGAATGCTAGGAAATCTGAGAAACTGAAGTTTGAAGCCAATGAGCGGGATGAAGGGGAGCTTGAGAGAACAGGACAACCTGTGTGCATATATGAGATATACAGTGGTGCTGGAGCGTGGCCGTTTTTGCACCATGGCTCTTTATATCGTGGGTTAAGCCTTGTGAGTATCTTTTTCTGAAGTTTAAATAATTCATAACTTTGCAAGTATATTTCTTGTGTCTAGATAGAGTACCCTTACAGAGGTATTCAAATTCAGAGCACACCTCTTATATTCGTTTGCCTCCTTTATCCCTTAAAAAGAAACAGAAGAGCACGCATATGCTGTTATCTTACACTACATCGGTCATTAATAAACAAGCCCATTTTGTACAATGAAAAGGTTGCATATAAAAAGGGAAAGAGTAATACATAGTTCCTTGTTAATTACTTGTTAATTAGCTGGGCATATTTTTAAGTTTGATTTTGTTAGTGTTACTTGTTAATTAGCTGGGCATATTTTTTTCCCTAATAATAATATAATATTATTTCTGGCAGTCTAGAAGATCACAAAGACAAAGCTCTGATGATGTGGATGCTATCGGCCGTTTGCCTCTTCTGAATGAGACATATTACCGTGACATTCTCTGTGAAATGGGAGGACTGTTTGCAATTGCAAATAGGGTGGATAGCATTCACAGGAGGCCTTGGATTGGATTTCAGTCATGGCGTGCTGCTGGTAGGAAGGTATTCCTTATGACATTTTTATTTTGAGAAGTATAATAAATCTTTGTGTTTATGTTAAACCATGCTAAGTAGCTTTAATAATTTAAATAATCTTAGTTAATCCAACATTCAAATTTAGCCAAGTTTTTTATACAAAAGTTACTTCCTTTTATCCTTTAATCAATGCGCTAAGGTCACTTGTTAGCATTCCCCATATTGTATTGTTGAAGTTATTATGTATCAATTGATGCACGGATTAAGTTTTGTTTTGGGAAAACTGGGTCTTCGTTTCTTTGTTTCAATTTTACCCTTATTGCACCTATTTGTTGCTCGATTTTAATCATTTTGGAAAAACAGGTATCATTGTCAGTGGAAGCTGAAAAGGTTTTGGAAGAGACAATGCATGAGAGTGTTAGAGGAGATGTAATCTATTTTTGGGGACGCGTGGACCTGGATGGGAGTGTCTTAGGAAGCAACAATGCACTTACATTTTGGTCAATGTGTGATATCTTAAATGGAGGGAACTGCAGGTATATAGTATGGAAAATAACAGTATACTCTCCTCTTGTACATTGCTATATTTCAGATGTCTGAGAATTTCAAGCATTCCACCCTTCCATGATATATTTTATTCTAAAGTTGCATCTTGTGTACTACCTACACATTAAACTGTTATGAAACAGTTAGATTAATTAGTAGAGACAGATTATGTTGACAATAGGAGACTTTCTCTATACTTAATAATGTTTGGAAATCCAAAATGGAGTTTCTGAATGATGTCTTTGAGTAATCTGAAGTGTTTCAAACTCGTCTGATATGATGCTTCATATTGCATCAGGAATGTTTTTCAAGATAGCTTCCGCCAGATGTATGCATTGCCCCCCCATGCCGAAGCACTACCCCCCATGCCTGAAGATGGAGGTTACTGGTCAGCTCTGCACAGTTGGGTGATGCCAACCCCTTCTTTCCTGGAGTTCGTAATGTTTTCTCGGTAACTAATTGATCGATGTTGGCTTTCATTACAGTCTGTCAATAATGAAAAGCACTTCCTTGATGTGAATGGAAATAGAAACTTGAAATGTTATCAATTGAATGCAGGATGTTCGTTGATTCCATTGATGCTTTTCACAGAGACTCTGGTAAATACAGCATGTGCTTGTTAGGCTCTTCAGAGATTGAGGTATGTAACTTGCTTGCTGCTTTTAAGGTTTCAGAATTTGTTGGTTTTTCTTACTTCTGTTCGTCCTACTCAGGAAAAACACTGTTACTGTCGAGTGTTGGAACTTCTTATCAATGTATGGGCTTATCATAGTGCACGAAAGATGGTATATATAAATCCTAATACCGGTTCTATGGAAGAGCAGCACCTAATTGAACATCGGAAGCGTTATATGTGGGCAAAATATTTCAACTCTTCGTTGTTAAAAACTATGGATGAAGATCTAGCTGAAGCTGCAGATGATGGCGACGATCCAAGGCAAAATTGGTTGTGGCCAATGACAGGAGAGGTGCATTGGCAAGGGATTTATGAAAGGGAGAGAGAAGAAAGGTACAGAACAAAAATGGATAAAAAAAGAAAAACAAAAGAGAAATTATACGAAAGGATGAAGTATGGTTACAAGCAGAAATCACTTGGACTATAACAAAGCTTATACTTGAAATTTACAAACACAAGCACTTACGGATGCAATTTTGCTTCATTCGGGAAGATTGACTGGCCAATTGAAGAAGCTTTGAGTCTAACAACATTGCCACATTGGCCCAGATCATAGAGACAGTATTCTGTTTCTTTCTTCATTAACTGAATACATATACTCAACCTCCTGTCCCAGAAAAGCTTGACAGAGAGCAAAGGAAATGAGTTTGACATCTGCTGTTCACTAGTTTGACGACCTTTTTTCATGGTCAATTAAGCAGCATGGAAGGTGCAGGTACTTCCGCTACGAAGTGTACTAAATAGTCTATAGAAATCATTCATCAATTACATTTGACTTGGCTCAAATTTGTATTCTTTCATTTTTGTATATTCAGTAAACACTAGGCAATTTTGAGTAGAATAATAGCTGGTTTTCACTTGAGTAGTTTAATCATTTTCGTTGGTGTTATAATAATAATTATAATAAGTAACAATAATACCTAATCAGTGTATTCTTGAGCTTCATTTTCACTAGAAAGGTCAGGAAGAATCTTGAATTTTCTTCGAAAATATATCAAAAGATGATCTTAGTTGCTAACTTTCAAAATAAATTAAAAAGACTTGATAATATCATTTTAAAACAGTTTGAGTTGAGAAAAAAAAAGGAGTTTCATAAATTTTGTCTAGAACATTTTTTGAAAGGCCTTGCTTTGTAGTGTTAGTGTTATGGTGTATTGAATGTAACCTAGAGTTAAATTAGTTGTACAGTACAAAACTCACAAGTGTCATCACCTACTACTCTAGGTCATCACTTTCTGACTATAAAGTCAGTTGTAACTAATTTTGATGAATGTGAAAAACAGTTGAGGAATCCAAAATCTATTGGATTTCTAATATGGTATCAGTTAGCTAGAGTGATTCATGGCAGACATTTCTTCATCGGCAACGATGTTATCGGCGACCTCCTCTGGACATGTCGTTAGGAGTAACAAAGTAGGCGGTCCGTCCCGTTTAAGTCAGTTTCATTTAAGTCTGTTCAAATGTGAGGCGGGGTAACCTAGGCGTTCGAGCTCAAAAGTCAATCCCGTTTCGTTTAATAACGAGTTGGCAGACCGGCCTACCAATATTTTTTTTTACAATTTGATTTGCTACACATAATTTACAAAATTATAAATAATTAACACAGGCCGACAAATTTTAGCAATGCACAAATTTTAGCAATGCACAATAAAATTTTAACAAATCTAAATGCAAATGTCATATTTTTCAACATAAACAAACAACGTAACTATACCAAAAAGTTAAAACAAACACACTGAAACTAAAAATTAAAATTTTTATTATCATAATGAGAAACAAACCCCTCTGTGCAAAATTTATCTTATAACTTTAGAACTTAGCTCCAAAAACAACGAATAATAGAAAATAGAAAAGAATGTATTTTCTATGTTTTGCAATAAATATTTTTCCTATTATGAGTGGAAATAAAGAACGAAGCAGAGACCAATTAATGTCTTTAAAATGAGGTGTTTGTAGTTATGTGAAAAATGAATATTAGGGTTTAAAGAAATGAGAGTTGTTTTAAAAGTTTGTCTACTACATACCACATTAATATTGATTTAATTTCAAGTAAAAAAATTATTTTTTTAAACAAAAATCCCGTGGGCAAAATCCGCCCCGTCCCATTTTAAAAGTGGGTTAGGCGGAGCGGGCCAACTTAAGACACCGAGCCGAAAATCTTGCCCCGGTCAGCAAAAAATGGTGGGTTAAACGGGCGGATCCGACAGGGCCAACCCGCTTTGCCACCCCTACATGTCGCCACCTCTACGACACTGGCGATTGCGTCTCCCCTTGATGAATCACGTCGCCTTCAGTTCTCTCTCAAGATCGCACACAAGCTGGACGAGAAGAACTTCGATCTATGGCGACAACAAGTAGAACCATACATCAATGTGCATGATCTCACCGATCTCGTGGTATGTACTCACATTCCTCCAAAATTTCTTGATGATGAAGCTCACAGTAACGACGTCGTTAATTCGGTTTACTCCACCTGGATACAAAAAGATTAGATATTACTTTCGTGGCTTCGGTCCACATTATCTAGGGAAATTCTATCGCGTGTTCTTGGTTCCTCACACACACATCAGCTGTGGGATCATTTGTTCTCCTACTTTCAGAAACAAACACGAGTTTGTGTACTTCACTTTCGTGTTGAACTTCGCTCCATCACACTTGATTCACTTTCAGTTCAAGATTATCTCTTCAAAATTCGTACAACTATAGATGCTTTGACCTCAATTGGAGATCCTATTCCACCATCTCACCATATTGATACGATTCTTGAAGCTCCCAATGTTGATTATGCACATGTTGTTTCAGTTGTTGAAAGCAAGTTTGGTCTTATGGATCTTGATGAAGTTGAGGTTCTACTTCTTACGCATGAACTCAGGCTTTCAAAGTTTCAGAAGAAGCCTATTCTAGATCTTGTTTCTCTTAATCTCACACATGTACCACCTCCATCTGCTCCTGTTGATGATTCTCAAGCTCCCACTACTGATTCCTCTTCTTCTCAAGCTAATCAACCTCATGTGGAACCGGATTACAACTCTTTTCGTGGTGGAAAATCCAATCATGGTGGAAGGTTTGGTAAAGGAAGTGGTGGCAGATTTTATGGCAACAATAATCTTCAATGCCAACTTTGCTCCAAGTTTGGTAACTCTGCCCTAACTTGCTGGCATAAGTTCAACTCCTAATTTCAACCTGCTAATGTTGGTCCTTACTTCAACCAAGGTCCTTGGTATGGAGCACCAATTTTTCCTAGTCAAGGAGCTCCCAATGTGTAACGTCCCGATTCTGAATTTCCCATTATTTTGTTGAGTCTTTTAATTTATTGGTTAATTGTTATTTTATTGTAGAATTATGTGTTAATATGTTATGTGTGTATGTTGTAGTATTTTATTATTTGGAGAGTTTTGGGAATTAATTAGAGGGTGTTTTAGATAATCCTTGATTAGTAGTTATTTTTGAGAGAAATAGAGTAGAAAGAGTATAAGTGGAAAAGAGAAAGAATAGAGAGAATAGAAACCAAGAGGACAGAGAAAGGAGAGGAAGAAAGGAAGAGAAGAGAAAAGAGGAGAAAAATCTAGAATCATCAAGAATCCACTTCTAAGCTTTCAATTGATCGGGTAAGGGTGTGAAACTTTATTATTCTTGCAATGTGTATGATTATGTGTGTTCTTGTTGGTTTTGTTTTGGATTGGAGAGAGTTTTACTCATTTTTCATTCTAGGGCATAATATGGATTTAATCGATAGAACCCGAGTTTTTGTTGGTGAAACTGAGATTAAGTAGTAGCATTTATGTCGGGTGATGTTAGGCTAAGTTACTAGAATGGTTTGGGATTTAATCGGGTGAATCCAAGAGTTTTAGAGTGGAAGAACAGTGGACAAATTCTGAGTTCGCAGACACTCGCTAGCACGTTCGCTAGGCGAGCTGATCGCGAATGTTCGCTAAGCGAGCAGTAGCGAATAGGTAGCGAATGGTCCCAGACTTGGACATAATGCATGTTGTGGTGTTCGCTGGTAGCGAATGGGGGTAGGGAAGGTTCGCTAGGGGTTCGCTGAGTGAGCGAGGTAGCGAACGAAGTCAGAGGCTTCTGTTTGCCTTCGCAAGCTTGTTCGCTAGGCGAACAAGTAGCGAATACTCGCTAGGAGTTCGCTAAGCGAGTAGGTGGAAAACGTAGCAGGTTGTGTTTTCTTTAATGTTTCCATCCGAGGTCGGGTTTCCGACTTAACTTTGATTATTTTCTTGCTCGAGGCATCGATTATGCTGAGTTATGTTGTGTTGTGGGTAGCCGTATGGCGTGAATCCTAGATTATGAATTGTGGGATGTGTATGTGGCCGTTTGGCAATTTTATGCAATTGTTCGAATTAAATGGAATTTCATGGTGATATTGATGTGAATGTGCATAATTGTATGTACTTGTATGATGTAAAGAATGCTTGAATATGTTTGTAAACATGTGTGCATTTAAGAGTGTTTAGAGTCGTGTTGCATGTGTAGCATCATGATTGCATTCTTGTGTGTCTGATCCCGCGTAGGATCTGCAGAAACCTCGTGTGCCCTTGTGGGGTGTGAGCGATGGTTTAGTTACTTTGATCCCTAGGAGGATCTGCAGAAACGATCGTGTGCCCTTGTGGGGTGTGAGCGATGATTTATTTTGATTCCGTGGAGAATCTGCAGAACAGTTGTGTGCCCTTGTGGGGTGTGAGCAACCAGATTGTGTGCCCGTGTGGGGTGTGAGCAATCCTGAAACATCGTGTGCCCATGTGGAGTGTGAGCGATGGGTGAACATCGTAGGCCCGACGGGGAGTTACTTCGGTAATGAGCGATGGTTCCATTTTGGTTCTTCAATTAACCTGCTGAACGAGTCGGTACCACATTTGCATCTGCATAGAGTCGTGAGTCAGTCTCTATGAGTTGCATTATCATCTTTATATGATATTTTGGTGAAATAAACATAATTGTAAATGTTTAAGTGAAATGCTATGAATTGTGAAGCATGAATTGGTGAATGTGATTGATTATGTATGTGTATATTGTGATGTATTGTAACAAGTTGTGGTGAGAAATGTGAATTGCGTGTATGTTATAATTGTGTTTTATGATATACATAATTTTATGCATTGTTTGTTATGATAATGTTTCTCACCCTTCTGCTGTTTTATAATGCTCTATGAGGCATTGCAGAGTAGGATGCTGAAGGTCTTTTGTGAAGCGAGTCTTCATTTCTTTTGGTCAGATGGCTCTGATATGTAACACTGGGTAGTTAGGAATTGTTTTTATTCTCTTGTGATACATCTGCGTATGTATTTGCTGTTGAATGTTGTGTAAACTTAACTGATGAATTGAATTAATCTGAATGATGTATATGATGCTTATGTTAATGAAATGATTTCAATGTTTAGATGTTTCCGCTTTATTCTAAATATTGATATGTGGGTT